ACCCACCGCTCAGTTCATCAGTACAGCAGGGACAACTACACGCGTGCTGTGCACCAGTGTTTCTCAGCCAGGGGGCTTTCTGCAAGATACACACTTATGCTGCACTGAAGATGCAGGAAAGTTGGGGACACCTCAGTGGGCTTCTGTGCAGGTCACAGCTGTGCTTTGTGAGGTGTGGCCCAGGTTGTGCTCTGGATGTTCAAAGGGCGCATGAATTTCCCATCCTTCAAAAGCAAAATCTCACCATGGAAGCCTCCTCTTCATGAGTTACTGCCGGAGAGTTTCTTTCACAATACTTTACCTAAAACTTTGCAACTGGGTACAAGGGCAGGTCTTCCTAATTCACTCCTGATGGAAGTCAGTCTTCTTAGGGCTCTCTTCCACCTCCAGAAATCTCAGGACCAACCTGAGGATGAGATCCATGGTGTCTTTACATTTGACATGCACGGTTGTTTTTCTCATCTGAGCAGGAGCTGCTGGGAGATGTCTAGCTGGCAACTATCAAGTTTGCAGCAGGTAAGGGAGGGCTTAACCCTTTCCTCCCCTGCGTTGTTCCTAATGAAAGTGACTCCTTTGAGGCAGTGCTAAGGGCCAGGGGCAAGGGGGATATTTCTCCCAAACAGCCAGATCAAAAAGCCATTTTTAGAGAACAGCAACACTGACTACAAGGCACACTTATTGTTATGCCTAGTTTCGCCCTTCATTAAGTGAGATTACCTTCCTAGGAATACTAGTGGGCAGCGACATCCCCTCCCTATGTATTTGGGGATTCAGTAGGATTGAATTGCTTGCCACCAGTTCATTTCTCAGCATCAAATTACAGAACATTTGCAAGAGGTGCCAGCAGACCATCTACTAATCACAGGTTGTGCACATCTGCCAATCATGCGAAGAGTCAGGCAGCCAAACTATCGTTAGTGAGTCCTGGAAATAGCTGCACCCTGGTGCTTCCATTTGCAAGGTTATGGCTGGGTTCACACATCCAGCAAGCACCCTGCATGGTTTCTACCAGCCTTCCTCAGTCCTCCTGCTGTTGGCATGTATCCCATCAGCCACTATGTCTGGAATTCAATCCCATGTAGAATACCTGGAGCAGCTCTTGAAGCATCTGCCACTTTTCCCAGGGAACTCTGTGGTGACACTGCAGAAACCACGATGCTGACTCCAGATGATCGAAGAAACCATGGTGAAGCATGGAAACCATGGAGCAGACTGTTGTTTCTTTTCATGGTTTCTAAAACTCATACATAACATGCTGAAATAGCATGCTAGGGTTTGGGTGACATGACAGGACCTGTGCAAGAAGCCAACCTGGCTTGTTATGGCATGTAAATCCACCCTGTCTCTCTCCAACACTGGAAGGAGAGGGCAATTTAAAAGAGAGGGGTTAGTTTCCTTCTTTGGAATTCCTGTCTTCTCCACCCACAAAAACCACTCAATTCAGTGTGAGAAAAGAAAGATGTACAACCAGATGCAACAACAAACCAGGTTGGAAGCTCCAGGTCCAGCGGTCAATGGATATTCTGGAGATGAAGCTCCAGTCGGTGGGTGTTTTGACTGCAACATCACCTGAGGACAAGCAGAACGCTTTAGGCAAGAGCTGCTCCACTTGTAAGACACTTTTCGAATTCCTCCAGATTTTCTTTGAAACTAAGGTGACTGAAGGGGTGTGTGTTTGTTTGTTTATTTATTTATTAAAACATTTCTATGCTGCCCCATTCGCCGAAGCCTCGGGGTGGCTCACAACATAACATATAATACATAAAACAAATTAACAATATAAAATAAGTCGCCCTGGCCAGATAAAATAAGCAAATAATATTAACAATTAAAATTATGTTTAAATAAAAAGGTTAACCAGGTTATAGTTAAAGAAGTGTTTGGAACAGTGCAACAGCTCTGGGGAGAAAGCTGCTCAGGCAGAGGGAAGTGGAAATAAAGAAGCAGGAGAGAAAGGGTCTGCCTTGGACAGAAGAAGCACGTTTGACCCACAAGAGGGAAAACAGCTTGAGGGAGAAGCAACCCAGGGCCAAGAAGTGGCAGGCAGGAAATGGGGTATTTATTTATTTATTTTTATTAAAACATTTCTATGCCGCCCCTTGCCAAGGCCTCGGGGCGGCTTACAAGTAATTGTAATTGTGGGTGCACCTTCTGCTGCCGTTCTGCTCCAACTCCCCCTCCCTTTGCCCTACAAGAGTGTTCGTTGTCAGGCTCTTGTTAACATGGATTGGCATATAAATAAGGGTGCCAGCTTTTGGGAACCAACAGAGCCAAGGGCGCTGCTGTCCTCTGAGTCTGCTAATAGCCTCGTCCTTGGCTGAAGCAGGATGCCAGACCGGCTGGACCTTGGGTCTGACCCAGCAGGGCTCTTTCCACGTCCCCTCCCTGAAAGCATGGACACCTCCCTTCTGCAGCCTGAGTCTCTGCTGCTTCACATGCAAGGACAGGCCGTGTGAAGGGGAGCGTGGGCATCTGACCAGCCATGGTGGCCACCTCTCCACCTGTGCTGCGCTGGCCCAGTGATGTGCTCCACTGACTGTCAATCCGGCTGTCTCAGCACACACCTGCTGCTCCGCCCTCTTTCCTAGCCTCTGGCAGCTCGCTCGGTCCGTGACACTCTTCCCCTGCCGCCTCTCCTCCTCCTCTCTCCCCCCGACGCTCAGCAGCAGGCTCGCAGATCCAGTGCACAGTGGCGGAGGACATGCTTTCTTCAGTCACCCTCTGATCAGGGAAGATCACTGAGGACGGCATCCGGTGAAGACAGGGGAGCACTTTCTGCAGCACAGGTGTCAAGGTAGGTGCCGTCAGACGGGGTCCCTCAGCTGGGAGACCGTGAATCACCTGTCTGTCTGGCAGTGTGAACCGGGCTGTGTGACATGATCTACAAAGAAGGCGAGGAGGCGTGATGGAAAAAGCTTCAGGCAGAATGTTACCTCACTCAGTTTCAGGGCAGAGGCAGTGGTGGTCCCAACATGCTAGGCAAGGATGCAACAAGTAACTAGACTCCATTACAGAGGTGACTGAGCCTGCAGAACCTCTCTATGAAGGCACCTGCCTGATATGCATGATGGCTCTGTATGCCTCTCTATCCATATGGGTATGTCAACAGATTCACCAAGTTGCGAGGGAACCCAAACGTAGCTAGTGGAGCCCCCTGCCAATGCAGGAAACCCCCTGCTACGGTATTATTGATAGGTGAGCACCTGGCATCTGATTAATGATCAGACTGCCTGATTGATACAGAAAGAACAACTGAGCTGGAGGGATCTCAGAACTAATGTAGTCCAGCCCACCTACCAATGCTGGAAATCCACAGCCACACCAGCCTCCTAGCAGGGACCCTGCATGCACACCCTTCTCAGCACGTATACAATCTGCTTAGCTCCTATCTCGGGGGTTTGCTAAGTGGATCCCTCATTTAATGAGCAACTGTTCTGTAGTCACCTGTCACTGCGCCTGCCTTGACTTGGAGCTTGTGCACTGGCTTATGTCTCTGGAACCACTGCGAAATGCCGAGCAAGCTCTCTGCAAGGCTTCAGCAACACACAGATCGAGGCTCCCTGCCCTGGGGTGGAGGGCAGGGGTGCTGCCACAATATATGTCTAGATGGCCCTCAGTGCCCGTGTTGGCGTGTGCAGAGAGAAATTGCTGACATTCCTTTGTTACAGAGCATAACTAGCTGAGTTATGATAGAAGAGGAAAAGTGACCAGACTTACATGGAAAAGTTGGAGACAGATTTCTGCACATTCCCATCAGTAGTTTCACCTAGACATGACACTGCCCTTGACCTGCCTGCAGGGCTGGAGGACCAAACAGCACAATGGGAAAGGTCTTGGGAGCCACATTGCATCTGTGGGTTGGGCCACATGTGATTATTACTAATTTAAGCCTACTCAGAAGTAAGGGTAAGCTTCTGCATGCCTACTCAGAACTAAGCAAGCAGGGCTGCATCACTCAGCAGCACTTTCAAAGAGCATCCCAAATTACGAGGCTCTAAATGTCTACTCAGAAACAAATAGGTCTCCTTCCTGAAAAATGCACACCTCAGTTCTGTGCTAAAGCTCTTCTGCAAACAAAACAAGTCTCTCAAAATCCTTGCAGCAATTATCTTTATATAACTTTATGCAAGTTATATTATTATTATTATTATTATTATTATTATTATTATTATTATTATTA